ACGACACCTACAGACAGACTTTCCGACGACACACCTACCGACCCCTTGGTCTGACCTACGTACAGACGAATTACACGAGACAATCCGACTTACGAACAAACGACTGACAATGACGCCTACCGACCGACACACCTACCGACCTATGACTATTGACAGTACCGACCGACTGACCGACGACGGACACGACGCCTACCGACCGACTGACCGACGACGACACCTACAGACCTTTCCGACCTACTGACCGACCCTTGACACGTACACCTACGTACAGACGAATTACACGACACCTAGACTGACCGACGACGGACAAACGACTACACGACCCTACCGACCGACTACGGACCCAACGACTGTCCGACGACTGACTACGTACCGACCTACGACTGACGACGACACATCACCTACGACGCCTTACGACCGACTTACCGACGACTTACACGACACCTACCGACCGACTACCGACTCAGACACGACACCTACTGACCTACCAACAGACAGACACCTACCGACCTACGTACCCTTGGTCTGTACCACCGACAGACGAATTACGACGACGGACTGACACGCCCACCTGACACGACGTCAGTACGGAATCGACGCCTACCATCGACTGACCGACGACAGACTCGACGCCTACCGACCGACTGACCGACGACGGACACACGCCTACGACCTACCGACCTTACACGACACCTACCGACGACGCCTACACCGACGACTACCGACCTACGTAACCGACGTCACACGACACCTACCGACCTACGTACCGATAACAGACACGACACCTACAGACAGACTACCGACGACAGACACCACCTACCGACCTACGTACCCGACACACCTACGTCAGACAACACGACACAATACCGACCTACGTACAAACGACAGACACGACGCCTACCGACTGACGACGACGGACACGAACGCCTACCATTGGTCCGACTGACCGACCACAGTAGGTGTTTACCTCGACGCCACATCACCTACCGACTGACCGACGACGGACACGACGCCTACCGACCGACTTACACGACGACTTACACGACACCTACCAGACCACACTACCGACGTCAAACACGACACCTACAGACAGACTTTCCGACATACTAACAGACCCGACCGACCTACGTACCGACGACGACTGACACGACGCCTACCGACCGACTACCGACGACAGACACGACACCTACCGACCTACCGACTACCGAAAACTGACACGACGCCTACCGACCGACTTTCCGACGACGGACACGACACCTACCGACCGACTTACCAACTCAGACACGACACCTCTGACTGACCTCATAACAGACGAATTACCGACCGACCGACTTACCGACACAAACGACTGACACGACGCCTACCGACCGACTGACCGACGACGGACTCGACGCCTACCGACCGACTGACCGACGACGGACACGACGCCTACCGAACGACTTACCGACGACTTACTCGACACCTATCGTACAACATACCAACTACAGACACGACATATATCAACAGACAAGCACGAAACCTATCATTATCAAAATTATAATGAAAAAATAAAAAAAACAAAAAACAAAATGAGATATATCCTTATATTACTTTTAGATTGTTTACATGAATAAGTTGTGAAGATATCACTTTTTTTGCAAATTGTTAGTATTAAAGCAGATTAAAATGTGATTTAAATCTAGTTTCTTTTCCTGTAGAAGAAACATGGAGTAGCTAGTGATGTCACTGAACCTGATCCTGTGATGTGGACACAAGCAGCAGTGACCTCATGATATTTGGGTGGAGTAATTAACTGACAATCATTGAAATACAAGAGGACAAGGTACCAAGGAGGGTTTTGTATACACATATGTGACTCTAAGGATTATATCTAACATTTTCAACATCTGTTTCGTGCAGGTTTTAATAGTAACACTGAAGAACATTTATATTCTTGATGTTACCTAGTTATATTCCAAAAGGCATCATTTCATAATTCCTTTCATAAAACAAATAAAATTATCTGTAAATTTTACCTGTTCATTATTCGAAAAGAATGTATGCAGATCCCATAAAAATCATAGCAGCCATAAGGCATTTGTATATTTTGTTTATTTAATTTGTTTAATTCAAATTATTGTTGTTTTTTTAATTGTTTCTATTGTCATTGATTCTTTCAATCTCTACCTACATTGTTTCCCAGCTACATTTGCTTCTATGTTGTACATTACTGTTTGAAAAATTATTTGAAAAATACATTCATGGCTGTATAAGAAAATAACAGTTACAGGATTGTTCTTATCCAGCTAACTGCGGAGGTAGATAATGTAACAATTCCATTATTGTTCTAATCCAGCTAGCTGTATAAGTAGATAATGTAACAATGCCATGATTGTTCTAATCCAGCTAGCTGTATAAGTAGATAATGTAACAATGCCATGATTGTTCTAATCCAGCTACGATTCCGTGATTGTTCCAGTCCAGCTAGCTGCATAGGTAGATTATGTAACAATGCCATGATTGTTCGTATCCAGCTAACTGCGTAGGTAGATAATGTAACAATTCCATTATTGTTCTAATCCAGTTAGCTGTATACGTAGATAATGTAATAATTCCATGATTGTTCTAATCCAGCTAGCTGTATAAGTAAACAATATAACAATGCCATGATTGTTCTAATCCAGCTAGCTGTATAGGTATATAACAACACAATAATGTAACATATGCCATGATTGTTCTAATTGATTCCTCAGAAACAATCACATATCATGAGGAAATGAAACCAAATAATGTAACATCTTCAACATCCATTGTTCTTGCAATATTAGCTGAATTGTGTACTCTGTATCTTTGGAATATGTAAAGCAAAAAGTAACATTAAATTATTATATCTGGTGACCAGCTTACCAGGTAGGTCCATCACATTTCATAACTTCCATGATTGCCTAATGACACAGGATGTACAATGATAATTGAACCAAGGAACCTTGTTCAACAGGTATATAGCCATGAATTTAATGATCAACTGGAGATCCACAGCTAAAAAACTACCATATTATGACTGTACATTAGCACATATGTCTATCTATACTGTTACTAAACTCCAGCATGTGGTACATTTCAAAATCATGTGAAGACATTACATTTAGGTAGAATTCACTACTAATACTTATTTGTAAATCAACACTAAAATGTCAATTTTCTTCAGGAATATAACAACATTTATTACTGTGGCATAAATGAACTTGTACAAATTTTCCACACTAATTCTGTAAAGAACTACATACAGACTGTACCAACTTACAAATTGCAAAATGTACAAGTTCATCCACACTCAGACCACTCAAAAGAAAACCATACAAAATCTTAATATGATTTGTATTGTTTTAACAATCCCATATCATGTGGTACACAAAACCACATTATTTTTATGAAACATCTGGATACATAGTAACCAAATATCAAAATTGAGTGAAATTTGTTTGCAAAAATTTCAAACCATTAGTTTCTGAATTGGCAGTGTAATCGTTGTTTCTTTGTGTTTTAATTATTACAATTAAGAAAAATTTCATGCATTAATGCATTAATATTTACACAAATATTTGTTATAAACGGAATCATTATTAAAACAATGGTAATTTCCATAGAAAAAAAAAAAAAAAATTATGACCATATTTTGTTTCAGCATTTCACTTATATATTAAAATGGTAGTGTAATTTGATTTCTATAGCATAAAAGCATTTCAAATGATATCTTCTCTAATACCAAACAATCAATAAAATTTAAAAATAATGAATTTTTAAGAAACATATAACACACCTACACACAGCTTTGTCTTCCTATATCTGTAAAATAAATTTGTATTTACTTGCATTTCTAAGTACATTTCACATATTTCTCAATGATCTTCACCATTAAGGAGATGCTGCCTTACATAGATAATTAAAAGCAGATTTACCATATCATGACTTTTGTACATTATTGCATATATGTCATTATTCCCAACATGTACTTATTCACACCAGAGACAAATAAAAGCCTTCACAAAAAGAAAACAAGTTGGTTTGTGTCATTACATTTCTAACCTGCCATTATCATTTGATTTGGAATAGAGCATTTCTTTTACATCTTTTTTAAATACTGATGGCAATTTCTACTCCAATACTTAGAATCTGTAGGTGGACATCACATATACATATATACTACATTTTCAGCCGCTGCATATATTTACAGCTAGATGTCTAGTAACTCATTATTGCATATAAATTTATTGCTTTTAGTGGCATAAATGATATTGTACAATTTTTCCAGGCATTAATTCTATTCAGATTTAAATTACATAAGGTTAAAGTACCAACTATATTTTGAAATTGAAAAAGAAATAGATTTATCTCCCCTTACAGAAATAAGGAGAAACTAACCAAATATAACTAATGCATTCAAAAATCAATATGAATATTTGTTTGATAGTGAAGTATTTTGTTATTCACAGAAAATCCCCTACCCAGTGGTACACAAAGACACTATTTTTAAGCATTATTTTTATAAAGAAATGCTGGTAATAAAACCAGACAGTAGTAATAAATTGATTAAAAAACAAAAGTAGACAATAGCAACTTCAGTGAAATTTTTTTAAAGTTCAACTTGCTATAATTTTTTTTAAGATTTAGAGGCAAACCATATAGTTGTTTGAGACACGCCTGTCAGCACAGAACAATGTAATCCTTCAATTTTTTATGGTGCAATGGCCTGTATATTTATTTCATCTTAACAGTTAACATGTGTACATTACGTATAAAAAACTGAAAAGACTAAAAAGATTTTTACATAACATTACACAATATAAAACTTCCCTGAACCACTGTATTTCATACTTTCAAAAACAAAAGTATATCTGTTCAACATGATAATGAATCAAACATTTACTTCATAGCACAAAAGCAAACTTCAAACTGAAAAACAAACCTAGATTGCATTGTTCTGCTGAAAATGAATGTGCCTTTCACCAATTTGGTTTAGATTACTCTATTTGAAGACATGCAATGATGTCAACTTTCCCAACTGCAATCTCAGATGCACACAGAATTGGAGCCTCAGCATCAGTAATAAATAGCTGAAGCTGGTTGAAGTACAATCCTGCTTGATGGACTTGTAGACCTTCGTTCAAGTATTGTCTGCTATAAGTATGGAATTCTGGAATCTGATCTGTAGATGTCATGAAATATGTCAAAAAGTGATCAGAAGTGCGAATCCCACCCAACTGCATTAAAATTGTTCTAAAAGCTATGAATAATAGCCTTTCATTATTTGATTTTGATCACCAAAACTTTATCGAGTATACAATATAGAATTTGACGATATTATCCCATGATTATGATATAAACTGAATTTGTGAAGTTGAAGTCGCAAGATGATCTTGACGTTTGTTTGCTTTGATTTTTTTATTTTTTTATTTTGACCCTTTTACCTAGACCGAGGACCACCTGTGTAAAGAGATCACCTCTATTGAGAGACCACCTGTGTGAACAGACCACTTATTAGTCCACTTCATGTTAAGTTTTAGCACTACACTGTCATAGACTGATTCATAGTCAAAGAAAAACTCTTTGTAACTCTTTGTAATAAAATCAACATGACACTGTAATTGAACTATTAACTGAGGTAGATGATTAATGACCCTGGTGTCTTATTTTATAACAGACAGGTTTGACAAGTCACCATCAAAATATTACATAACTGATTTAGATACATTTATCTTACAAATATCTTTTACTTTAGAGATTTTCCAGTTAAATTGAAAATTCAAAAAGGATTTTTTTTAAATAGGATATACAAATCTAGAAGAAATCAAATTAAATCTGTGCATTTTCCCCTCAAACCTTCAGCAAACTCATACATGAAACTACTACCCATTGTGCTTCTTAAGCTAACAGTTATTGTGTAAACATTTTCCTATATTTTCTATTGATGCACTTAAATTGTTGTCAAAATTTGAAATATTACGCGTTTAAAATTTGCACAAAACTTTAAAAATTTGTTTATGTCTTTGTTTCATTAATTAATTTTTAATACACAATGTCACTTCAAAGTTGTGAAAAGAAAACTGTAATGGCTAGTTATGAGTTATCTCCCCTCTGTCAATATTGATGTTGTCAGAAACTACAAAAGGATATCAGCTTGAAGCTATGTATTTTTAGCAGCAATAAAAACTGCAACATTATACACAAATTCTAATTTCTTAGATAGCTTCATGTTTTCTTGACATTTTTCCAAACATGTAAAATTCTTAGATATTCCCCTGTTGACATCAAATCAAAAGAATGATTTCATTTCTATATTATTATTATTAAGTTATTATTATTCCTTTTATGTCCTCCAAGATTACATGAAAAGAATAAATACAATTAAAACACAATCAACATTAAAGAAGAGTTGTATAAATGTACAAAGCAAATCATAATAGTGTAATTGAGAAGTTTTAAATATTTGATACAGAAATCTTAAATTTACAAGTCTGAAATATTCCAAATCTTCTTTCAACATTTCACAGCTAAAAGTACTCGCCAAGAAAGTATTTGCTAAGTCAAAGTCTGACAAATTATTCAACCATGTCATGAAATTTATGCCCAACTTATTAAATAAGTGACACCTTAATTCATCTCAAATATCAATATTTCCATAGCAGTGACAAATAATATATGTAATAGAATCCTAGCACAACATACGGCAGTAGTGACACAATTCCTCATGGTTCAAAATGCAAGAGCTTACACATATTTTTAAAATACACTGTATATAAATATTGAGAAGACTTTACTGCTAATTTCCATGAGTGATGTGTTTTAAGCTTAAGATGGATAAACTCTGAAAATATTGTTGTCAGAGAGAATGATATTAGTATGAATAAGGTAGAACCTGGATTAAGGGTCAATTATGCATATCAAGTGAGTTACAAGTACACATTTACATAGGAAATCATTCTTATACAATAAAAATGGTGGATGAAAAAAGCTAGTGTTTGCTGCTAAAGCAGTATCAATTTGAAAACTGAGGGAAAACTTTTTAATATCTACGATGTCAAATCCTAAAATCAACAATCAAAATTCTTTAAGAAACATTTGTTATGGTATTAGATACACTTGTCTTGTCGAAAATGTTCTCCTACTAAATAAATTCATGCTAAAACAAAGGGTTTTCTGAAAATTTAGTTATTTTGCCAATGCTAGTTAACAAACATATCTAACAGTATGATTTATTGTTGATTAACAGGAGTGAATAAGTTCATGTATTTGGTTTTTTAATAATAAATTCAAACTTTATTGATAGTCTGTTTTGAATAAAGTAAACTTTTCTGGTAGTCTGTTCTGAATAATGTAAAACTTTAGGAGCAACCTATTACGTGTAAAGTGGGTGAGAAATTCTATGAGAGGTTACAGCAGATGCGAGGCATTATAAGGATCATATCATAACGGGCTTGAAGTATTAATATCGAAAGTCAAATTTTATGTTTGGTCGATAATGCTAATGAGAAGTGGAGATTATTGAAATAAATCTATTACATAGCCAATGGGACATTTTATGGGAAGTCTTGTATAGGAGGAAGTGTAATCTTTGTAAGGTGTAGAAAATATTGAGAAGAAACTGTCAGGATGTGGCAAATAGTACAAGTAGTTAATGAGTGTATGGTATTAGGTCTCAACTTTACTAATCACTTATGGTATTAATAAAGTTTGCTAATGTGTATTTAGTTTTATGAACATTAGAACATAGTGTACTATTGACCACATCAGTGTGTAAAACTCACAAATTCACGAAGTCCATGTATGTATTATTGTGAGCCATGGCACTTTTGTAATTAATTAAGATCTGGCACGGGAAGTGATTCTGTAAGTCCTCTTCCCAATAAAGTTTTCTCTCATTTCTGGGAGAGGGGTTCAGGTATACACCACAGGGAAGTAAAACTTGAGAGAGAGAGAGAGAGAGAGAGAGAGAGAGAGAGAGAGAGAGAGAGAGAGAGAGAGAGAGAGAGAATGACAGAAGAATGTCTCTCACCTCAGAATGACAGAAGAATGTCTCTCATCTCAGAATGACAGAAAAATGTCTTATCTCAGAATGACAGAAGAATGTCTCATCTTAGAATTAAAAGAAGAATGTCTCTCACCTCAGAATGACAGAAGAATGTCTCTCATCTCAGAATGACAGAAGAATTTCTCATCTCAGAATGACAGAAGAATTTCTCTCATCTCAGAATGACAGAAGAATGTCTATCATCTCAGAATGACAGAAGAATGTCTATCATCTCAGAATGACAGAAGAATGTCTCTCATCTCAGAATGACAGAAGAATGTCTATCATCTCAGAATGACAGAAGAATGTCTCTCATCTCAGAATGACAGAAGAATGTCTCATCTCAGAATGACAGAAGAATGTCTCTCATCTCAGAATGACAGAAGAATGTCTCATCTCAAAATGACAGAAAATGTCTATCATCTCAGAATGACAGAAGAATGTCTCTCATCTCAGAATGACAGAAGAATTTCTCATCTCAGAATGACAGAAGAATGTCTCTCATCTCAGAATGACAGAAGAATGTCTCATCTCAAAATGACAGAAAATGTCTATCATCTCAGAATGACAGAAGAATGTCTATCATCTCAGAATGACAGAAGAATGTGTCATTTCATATCAAAAGGTAATAAACACGACGACTAGACACGTGTTTCTGTTATACAGAAACCAAATAATGGAAATATTGACAGTGAGCAGAGATATAGAATTTCATTTCATATTATAACATAATTGATAGTTAGTTATAGTCAGCATACTTTGGATCGGTACAGTGACAACTGGGGAAATTACAGCACACTTGTAAATGAGGCCTCCACATCACATTTGGAGTAGAAAATTGAATTTCCACGGGCTCGATAGACCGTATGTGACGTTTGTATGCCTCCTGTATGATGGCTACCACATTTTCCAGTTGAGAATCACCCGAGTAGTTAATAGGGGTGGCTTCACTTGGGTCCGATGTTAAGTCATGTAGTAAAGGTTCATTGTGGATCACTGCGTCTGGACAGGTACATATAGGAAGACATTTGTTTGTTCCAGGAACATAGTTAGGCGATCTAAACACCAGTTTCCAAACCTTGTTACCTGTCAGTAGTGAAATGGATGTTTTATTTAGAAATATGCTACAGCGGTATGTAACAGAAATAAGCACGTGTCTACATGAAAATTTTTGTTTTGTTGATATTTTGCACAAGTTTTATTGCATTTGGGTCTGGATTATGGCACTGCTGACTTGTTGGTATTTTCTTCGAGGTTTTAAATTAATGTGTTAAATAATGTAAGTTTATTCATTATCGTTAACTATGTCAATGCTTTAACACGTGTTCAAAGACAGGTGTTCAATAGTTCTTTCAGCATTAAACAATTCAAAAAGATATAGTAAACGATTTGTAACATATAGTTATATAAATGTTCATAAGTATAGGTTAAACTTAATAACCAACGCTATCATAGTATTCAAAGTATTCTGTATGGAAATACTTTTTGTAATTTTTTAAAAATGTTTTGTGTTTCACATTTCCATATGATATGATGGTATTTGCTTTAAGTAAATATTGTATTGTTCGCCGAAATATTTTCGGATCGATAGTAATTACGTCTCGATATATATTACCCGTTTAACATTTATGCATATTTGTATATAATCTGTCTGAGGTATAAATATGTTACATGTTCTTGGTCTGTGTACTTATCTATTACACGTTCTTGGTCTGTGTACTTATCTATTACATGTTCTTGGTCGATGTACTTATCTATTACACGTTCTTGGTCTGTGTACTTATCTATTACACGTTCCTGGTCTGTGTACTTATCTATTACATGTTCTTGGTCTGTGTACTTATCTATTACATGTTCCTGGTCTGTGTACTTATCTATTACATGTCCTTGTTCTGTGTACTTATCTATTACATGTTCTTGGTCTGTGTACTTATCTATTACATGTTCTTGGTCTGTGTTCTTATCTATTACATGTCCTTGTCGATGTACTTATCTATTACATGTCCTTGTTCTGTGTACTTATCTATTACATGTCCTTGTTCTGTGTACTTATCTATTACACGTTCTTGGTCTGTGTACTTATCTATTACACGTTCCTGGTCTGTGTACTTATCTATTACATGTTCTTGGTCTGTGTACTTATCTATTACATGTTCTTGGTCGATGTACTTATCTATTACACGTTCCTGGTCTGTGTACTTATCTATTACATGTTCCTGGTCTGTGTACTTATCTATTACATGTCCTTGTCGATGTACTTATCTATTACATGTCCTTGTTCTGTGTACTTATCTATTACATGTCCTTGTTCTGTGTACTTATCTATTACACGTTCTTGGTCTGTGTACTTATCTATTACATGTCCTTGTTCTGTGTACTTATCTATTACATGTTCTTGGTCTGTGTACTTATCTATTACATGTTCTTGGTCTGTGTACTTATCTATTACATGTTCTTGGTCGATGTACTTATCTATTACACGTTCCTGGTCTGTGTACTTATCTATTACATGTTCCTGGTCTGTGTACTTATCTATTACATGTTCTTGGTCTGTGTACTTATCTATTACATGTTCTTGGTCTGTGTACTTATCTATTACATGTTCTTGGTCTGTGTACATATCTATTACATGTTCTTGGTCTGTGTACTTATCTATTACACGTTCTTGGTCTGTGTACTTATCTATTACATGTTCTTGGTCTGTGTACTTATCTATTACATGTTCTTGGTTTGTGTACATATCTATTACATGTCCTTGGTCTGTGTACTTATCTATTACATGTTCTTGGTCTGTGGACTTATCTATTACATGTTCTTGGTCTGTGTACTTATCTATTACATGTTCTTGGTCTGTGTACTTATCTATCTGTTCTTGGTCTGTGTATTATCTATTACATGTCTGTGTACTTATCTATTACATGTTCTTGGTCTGTGTACTTATCTATTACATGTTCTTGGTCTGTGTACTTATCTATTACATGTTCTTGGTCTGTGTACTTATCTATTACATGTTCTTGGTCTGTGTACTTATCTATTACACGTTCTTGGTCTGTGTACTTATCTATTACACGTTCTTGGTCTGTGTACTTATCTATTACATGTCCTTGTTCTGTGTACTTATCTATTACACGTTCTTGGTCTGTGTACTTATCTATTACACGTTCTTGGTCTGTGTACTTATCTATTACATGTTCTTGGTCTGTGTACTTATCTATTACACGTTCTTGGTCTGTGTACTTATCTATTACATGTTCTTGGTCTGTGTACTTATCTATTACACGTTCTTGATCTGTGTACTTATCTATTACATGTTCTTGGTCTGTGTACTTATCTATTACATGTTCTTGGTCTGTGTACTTATCTATTACATGTTCCTGGTCTGTGTACTTATCTATTACATGTCCTTGTTCTGTGTACTTATCTATTACATGTCCTTGTTCTGTGTACTTATCTATTACATGTTCTTGGTCTGTGTACTTATCTATTACATGTTCTTGGTCTGTGTACTTTTCTATTACACGTTCTTGGTCTGTGTACTTTTCTATTACATGTTCTTGGTCTGTGTACTTATCTATTACACGTTCTTGGTCTGTGTACTTATCTATTACACGTTCTTGGTCTGTGTACTTATCTATTTCCTGTTCTTGGTCTGTGTACTTATCTATTTCCTGTTCTTGGTTTGTGTACTGAATTATTACCTGTTCTTGGTCTGTGTACTTTTCTATTACACGTTCTTGGTCTGTGTACTTTTCTATTACATGTTCTTGGTCTGTGTACTTATCTATTTCCTGTTCTTGGTTTGTGTACTGAATTATTACCTGTTCTTGGTCTATATCGAATAGCATGTACGTCGATTCCACAGTAATGAACCATGAATGAATGAGGTGACACTGTGTCGGTCTTACTGAGGAGAGGAAGAATGTCTTTTCCGTCTATAGAACGATCACTAGGTATCTTGGCCCTCATCGCACTCGCTAGTGTCGGGTACATGTCCATCATCCAGGTAGGTTCGTCTACTACCGTACCGGGTGTGATTTTACCTGGCCATCGAATCACCCCTGGCATGCGTATACCCCCTTCCACAGCGCCCTGACCTTTACCGCCTGGAAAATAGGAAATGCACGCGAAAGACATGACTCGGTAAATATTGTAAGTGTATTCGTAAGTAAAATAAATGGCAAACAAATGGCTGTTGTGAAATATAAATCAGTATTGTAAGTATGCCACACTATGATTTCCATGCATTAAATCATGCCTTCATACCTTTGAAAATTCCATTGTATCCACCATCCATTTCTCCATGGAGACCAGTTTCTTCCAAATAACCACCGTTGTCGGATGTAAAGTAGACAATAGTTTCGTCGCTAAGTCCAAGTCTGTCCAGAGCATCCGTAATTTCACCTACCCCACTGTCAAGTTCCTCCACCGCATCACCATAGCGACCGTGACGCGTCCGCCCTCGGAAGGCTTTCGTTACCTGGATAGCCGTATGCACATGCGTCCAAGAAACCATTAGAAAAAATGGATTCTTGTCGACTTTTCGTTGTTCTAGAAAGTCTATGCTCTCTTTCGCGAATCTTTGGGTCATTCCCCTCAGACGAATTGGCTGTTCCACTATTTCAAAATCTCTATAAATCATACTGTTCAATAGTTTCATGTTCGTAACAACAAGTAGGAATGTTCCCACTAATAATATAGTTAGTATGATTAACATTAAACAACATGGAGTCCCGACATACTTTCGCTTGTAAAGTCCAAAAGACGTCAAAAATCCGATCAATGTAATAGCAAAACATCGCCACTGCCACACTGGAATGTAGTCTCTGAAAATGGAGTCCCCGTCATCGCCAAAATCTCTAAGGTTTGTTAAAGGGAGGCCGTAAAAGGTGTCAAACCCCTGGTTCCTCGGGTGATAGATATTGTCTCCATATGTACGGCTCAAACCCAAGTGCCACTTCCCTGAAAAATATATACATACTTGTGTTTGTTCTGTAATTATGTAAATCACACGCTCTTAACTGCTAAGAAACACACGCTTATGTTAAAAAAATTATTTCTCAGAATGATTACAAAACGAGTATATATTTTTGTCCCTCAAAGAGCATCTGTCCGCATTTAATTAGTCCTCGAGGTTTTCCGTAACATGCATGCCACGTTCTTTTTATCAATTCTGATTTTCTTCAGTTTCCTCCTAAGTTTCAAACTTTCGGCCCTTAGCATCACTGATGCGTTCTAAAAGGATTTATCATATTTCGCTCCACTGTATCTGTATTGAAAGGAGTTCTTCTCCAAGTGTATGTTGTCCAATCCTTTTGTATGTTCGTTTTTCTGTAAGCTGTGAATATCTTATTATATGAATATCTAAATATATTAGATTATCCTGAAAACTAACCAAATCACTGACTATGGTGATAGCAACATAGTGTTACCTAAAACATTGTCCTGTAGCCGCAGAATGTACCTCACCTACCAACCAGGTAATACCGTCCTATCTGCCTATAACGTTGTCCTTTAACCGCAGAATGTACCTCACCTACCAACCAGGTAATACCGTCCTATCTGCCTATAACGTTGTCCTGAAACCGCAGAATGTACCTCACCTACCAACCTTGTAATATCGTCCTACCTACCTATAACGTTGTCCTGTAACCGCAGAATGTACCTCACCTACCAACCTGGTGATATAGTCCTTCCTACCTATAACGTTGTCCTTTAACCGCAGAATGTACCTCACCTACCAACCTGGTAATATCGTCCTTCCAACCTGTGGCGTTGTCCTGTAACCGCAGAATGTACCTCGTCTACCAACCAGGTAATACCGTCCTATCTGCCTATAACGTTGTCCTGTAACCGCAGAATGTACCTCACCTACCAACCTGGTGATATAGTCCTTCCTACCTATAACGTTGTCCTTTAACCGCAGAATGTACCTCACCTACCAACCTGGTAATATCGTCCTTCCAACCTGTGGCGTTGTCCTGTAACCGCAGAATGTACCTCGTCTACCAACCTGGTAATACCGTCCTATCTGCCTATAACGTTGTCCTGTAACCGCAGAATGTACCTCGTCTACCAACCAGGTAATACCGTCCTATCTGCCTATAACGTTGTCCTGTAACCGCAGAATGTACCTCACCTACCAATAAGATAATATTGTCCTACCTACCTATAACTTTGTCCTGTAACCGCAGAATGTACCTCACCTACCAACCAGGTAATACCGTCCGATCTGCCATTAACGTTGTCCTGTAACCGCAGAATGTACTCCGCCTACCAAGCTGGTAATAGCGTCCTGCCATCCTGTGGCGTCGTCCTCTAACCGCAGAATGTACCTCACCTACCAACCTGGTAATATCGTCCTACCTGCCTATTACTTTGTCCTGTAGCCGCAGATAATGTCTCTCCTTTCTATCAGGTGTGACGCCGACCAACCTACCTATTAAAGCCGTCTTGTAGCCTGCCGATTTTGCCAATTCCGCTATGGTAACCTCGCTTGTAGGAAGTCCTCCGTAGCTGGCAACAAATGTGTTTATTCGAATATGTCCTGACGGCACCATACCTAATATGCGTACACAAAAAAATACCCTGTATTTATATAAGTGAAGTCATTACAACAGTCAAATATACCGTATTCAATGTATTAGATGTATATATACCTCAGTTAAGTTGACTCTTTCGTTTCGTTAGGGCGCCTTATTCAAAACTTTTACAATCAAATTCCTCCCACTATATTTGTAAGAACGAAAGTTTCAATCAGAATATGAACCTTATACAGGCCGTCAGTAGGAGGACATCGCTTTGTGTTGTTGTATAACGATGGCAGAACGATGATAACCAAACAGATACTGCTTGTCCTCAGATTTGATGTCATTTCTGTGCAATGATCTTCCACACTGTTGTGATTTTGACTTGATATGGTGAAATAAATCAGTGATCGTTTGTTTTCGTGTTTACAATGTTTACCTACTTACTTAAGATACCGACCCACGGACGGGCCAACCATGTAACGTGACCCACACACCTACCTGATCTGATCGGATACCGCCCCGTCAGAAAAGCTGTACGACTCGGGGAACACATGCTCGCGGCCGCTAGGTGGTGTGTCATTTTAGCGCCTTCCCGCGCAAGACGGTCAATGTTTGGAGTGTTCAAGGACGTATTACCAAAGCAACCCACATCACCATAACCGAGGTCGTCTGCGATGAAAATGACGATATTGGGTGTGGCATGTGTGTCTCTAAAGAAAAGCCCTAGTAATGGAATCACTACCAGGGCTGGCGTCATCTAGATAAAGAAATAAAGATATGAAACAATAAACAATTAAAAAGAAGCTACGATCATTGTTTGATATGTTTAATGGCTGTGAGTAGCTTTGTGTCTTAGTACAGGTTTGTGATCAGGTTTTGTAGTTTGTTACATTTGGAACCTATTACTACTTGGAGGATAATACACGGTGCTAGAGACATCCCCTGGGCAGTTTGATAGTGAGCCTGGAGATAAATATACATGTATATACACTTACTATGCTGTAGTGTTAGTAGAATCACTTGTCCACAGTTTAGCCTCATAGAATGTCCACAGACACTGAATAAGACTTATCGGGTGTTTACAAGGTCAGATGAACGTCAGGTAATAAAATGTTATATACTATTTAGATAACATATAACGCCACATACATTGATCGTATCGCCCTATATTATCACTCGCCGCCCTATATTATCACTCGTTGTGACCAAGTACATATACATATATATGCAATATCTGTAATAACTATCTGGTTCCCGATGGTGTAACGAATCATCTGAATTATATAACGGGCATTAAATCATCAAACGAGCAGGACTAACCTGCCGCATAACAAATATACTTTATAATATATAGTAATTTAAAAACAATATAGTACCTGAATGTCAACAAAATTTTAAACTCAAAATCGATAAACAAAGTAAGATATTCATTAAGATCAGATGAAAAGGGAGACTGTATGAAAAGAATTAAGTGTTACTGACGACTTTTGCTTTTCAGGTCTGCCAAATAATGTTACGTTCTCACAGTGAGAGCCGAGTTAATAACATCCAAACCACTATCCATTATAATGGGTATTAAACGTGATATTGCATAAGAAAATACATATAGTGTAATTTCCCAATAAGATCATGATGACTATCAGTTTCCACATTGTCTTTATCGACCTGTGCTTCTTGCAACCTTATTTAATATTAGCTCTGATATTTATCGTGGACATCATGATATCCGGAACAAGTTGTAGAGTATTGAATCAACTGCGAAATGTAACCAACATAGGTTGCCGAAGTAGGAATGTTACTTTCTGAAAATAGAAAAATGACACTGGTACAACTGACCACGAATTCACACAGGAGTGGACAGCTGATATAAATGTATAGTATGTTGTTGGTTTCTTGTTCTGGAGGGCATATCTGATGAACCTGATCAATACATCAAGATGTCGGCAAGGCACCGTCTATGTATCGTGAAGTTAATCTGAACACCTCACAATATTTTACTTGTACTGAGAAGTTATTCGATAAATTTAAACTCTCGTTCAAAACAAAAACTGAATATATAAATAAAAAGACAGGTACAACTTCAAATGGGTTCATAGTTCAACCAAGATTTTTTATCGAAATGAGATCCAGTCACTTTTTACAATTTCATCCTTAAAAATATTTCAAATTGGCTTTAAAGGTATTTTAAAAACTCACTGCTTGTATGAGTTTCATAAGAAACTTCAGAACTTTTCATTTTTACCTACCATATAGAGGTAAGACGAATAGTTCGTGACAATAAACGATGGCGTGATAAATTTGTGCCCACGCAAAAAAAATGTCGTGTCATTCTATGATTGGTTTACTAGATGGAGTTTATATTGGATAATAAAGGCTCTTGTTTTCATGAGTTTCAGTACTGCTCTAGATATTGTTAACAACTGATTTGCGTGACATTCGACGTAAAACTAATCTTGTAACATGAGAATATAATACCTTAAGACTTTTACATCAATAAACTTTGCTTTCATTTTATCGAAAGAGGGGTATCCTATTTCTATGTTTAGTTAATAAAACGGGGCCCCAGTCCACCGCCTCATCCAAATACCGAATACTTGACACAACTGCGTCTTAACTAAGACACAACTGGTATCAGGATGCCTAATTTGAGTGTTCTTTTGTCTTTATTTACGGGATTGACCATTGTCCAAGGTCATGGATTCTTGAAGAGACCAGCACAACGATCATACGTCTGGAGAGAAGGACTTAATCCTTCACTCAATAAATACTATAATCACATGGCGCTTAATTGTGGCACAGCTGGGGTAAGTCACGACAACAATAGGAGCGAAAGTTAGGCAGCTGTGAATCATCTAAACTTTGTTAGAGATGTTAAAGTAAATATCTTTTGATGCTTGTTAGAATATACAAGTTTGTGCTTAAAATACCTTCATTTTTTTGGACACATTGACTAATTTAATTTAAGTTAGTGTTTATAGAAACATTCGTTTGTGATATTTACATTAGTATAACACTAAAAATGATCAGGTTGTGTAAAATAAGTTAAGCGGTTACATCAAAGATAGATTTTTTTGAAAATCATTGTCGTTTGATATCATGTACAAGTATCTTAAACATTTCTATCCATGCCTTGTCCGATTTTCCCTTTTTACGGTTTGGTGTGTCAACTGCAGATGTCCTTCTTTTCAACTTTTGGGTCATAATTTCTTGTTCTTCATTTTGATATCACTAATTAATATCGTTTGGAAACAAAATGAGGATTTTTTAAGAAATCATGTGAAAATAAAATTGAATTAAAACGTAAATATTGATATATACTTAAAACTTGGGAAAGTGTTGTGCTAGTTCTTTGCTACCATTTTTCAAGTGAATTTTAACATCTATAGTAAGACAAATTCATAAGTAAACATCTTTTGTCTTGTTCATATTGAAAATTAAATAAAATATCATACAAAGACTATCATTACTCCAGAGACAATACAATAAAAATGGCGGGAAGTGTGGCACATGCGGGGATCCCTACGATGAGGCTCAACCACGTGCCCATGAGCTTGGTGGCACTTTCGGTTCGGGTTATATATCGCCGAATGCAGTGTACACACAGGGGCAGGTTATACCTACTGTGGTCGACATAACTGCCAACCACAAAGGTTGGTTTGAGTTTCGAGTATGCAAAGTCACAGACAACAATCCCGTCACACAGAATTGTCTGGATCAGAATCTTCTCAAGCTTGACAATGGCGATACAAGATACGACCTTGCTGGTAATATTCGAGGCGACATCCCCATTGGTGTCAAACTTCCTGAAGACCTGTCGTGCGATCATTGTGTTCTCCAATGGTACTGGTTAACAGGTAAGTCATTTTTTTCTATCAAAGCAACATGAACATTTACACATAGATATATGTATGCGCATAAGCGACTCATAGTATGATTCAAGATCAAGGAAATAATTCCGAAACTGTCACCATGTTTACTTATGTTGTTGAACTACATGGAAATATATTCTTTGATCTAATTAACTCTCTGTTAAGTATAGGCTGTTTTTGTCATTTAATTCTTGATGGAACCCTAAACCTGAGTTTGTACTGATGATGAATGTTTTTAATGTGCTATATATATGGCATCCGTTAACAAGATGAAGGAAAGATGAAATAGCGTTGATGCTATATTAAAGTAAAATTAGACAAATGAACGAATGTTCAATAAAAAAATGGACGGAGTTTTAAGTAAAGGGATATAAAATAACCACCATATGCCAGTTGTTTTATACTGATCCCAAGTTCATTTGGTAAGGGACAATGCTAATTGTGAATTCACTGCTTGTAAAAAAAAACTAAATCTATAGCAGACGTTTGGAATCTCAATAAGAAAAATACAAATATTACATACACCCACTCCATTGATACATTGATATAAACTCTATCATTCTTAATTCTTGATTATTATAACAGGCAATTCTCATCGGAATAAGGAGACTTTCATTAACTGTGCCGATATCACCATTCAACCTACATCCAACCAACCTCCCTCCCCAACAACAACAACAACAAAAACAACAACAACAACTGCTGTCCCAGTCACTTCTAATCTCCCGACAACCACACTGCCCCCGATCATGACTTGTTATCCGGGTCAGTCAAATGTCTGTAGATGGATCGGACCCAACAATGGCCTGTTCACCAAAGACCAGATGGATGGCTTCTGTGTGAATGCATCTGAAGCTGTTGATCCTTATTTACAGATGAACTGTAGGTGTAGTTGTGATTGGCCCACGGTACCAGGAGACTGTTCCGGAATATCAAACACCTGGGATATCATTCCTAACCCGGATCCATTCTGTGCTGCAACCTGTGGACAATGTCCGACGGCTCACTGTCGATGCTAGATACCGATACTGTGTATAAAATACTCTGATCCGGAATTAATGTTTGATAATACAATAATATAGTTTAACAATGTTCAATAAACAATAACGCATGCCAATTGAAATTGTTTGTAATTTCATTACAACGATATTCATCGCTGGTCTTGATAACAACAGTTATAGGTATGAAAAACTATTTTGCAATACTGTATAACATCCTCTTTTTATTGAACATTTCACGTGGTTAAATAAATGTCGATTAAAGCTAGTGACTATAATACTAGTAGCTAAATCCAATAACAATGTCACTGAAGGAGACGTCACAAACCGGCCCATCCATGACATTGCGGCCTGGTGATAAACTTGCTGTTTTACGTTTTGTTACAACTTGTTTTTATTGATGTTACTTAATACGTCGGGCGTGACTAAACAGTGTGATTTTACCTTGTACACATCACGCAAAACGATCATTCCATGACCTCGCCAATACCCTATTTCTTCATACACGAGGAAGTCGCTGAAAATTAGGCATATCAACTACCTTGATATTTATGTGCTGTCAGAACATTGATGCCCATTTACTCACCTGAAACGTTTGACGTGTGTATCGGAGATGTGACTGCACATCGTTTTAGATTACATCACTGAATCATAGAGACGCTTGAGTTAGCTTACAGTGGTCCAGAAACACACATGTATTACATACAATCATCATTTAAACGGGAACGTTATTCTGATGACAAAGGAATTAAATTAATGGCGGGAAAATGGTAGATATCTGTTGATATGTGCAGCTTTTCTAAAGGGTTTCATTACAATTTTTATTGTTTGGTTGTTTTTTCTTAAATGAGCCATAATCTTGGTTAACTTCTGTTTTATAAGACAAATTATTTAAAGTTATATCTCATCTTTCGGTCTACAACTCATTAGTTTATCAAAATCAGAAATGAGTCATCAAGAGTAATACTTTTTTTCGTAACAAAAAAAAAAAGAATGCAAGAGGGTGTGGCGTATTATTCATGGTCAATTTTCATTCACTTGACAGACGACAACAAAGGACTGGCATCCGAGGATGGATTGATTGATTACTTCATCATATCTGGGTTGATGTTTGACATGTAAAAGTGTGTATTGAAAAAAAAAAAGAAAAACCGGAGATATTTACATTTAATGTTTTATAGTTACGATATTCTTAATTTGTCTTATTCTTTCCGGAAGCGTGACATGTTACAGTAACTGATATTATCTGGGTGCGATGTCATGCAGGTCAATAGTTCATGTGATAAAACTCGACAAAATGGCTGTTCCATAACAGATAACAGTCCGATATCGATGTCGAGATAAATACTTATTACCGGTTAATTCTTAATAAATATTGGACATGGTTTACATATTTAGTACGGTACTAATCTTACATACGGTAAAATGGTATTTTCGTAGGGTTCAAAATCGTGATTTCTTGGGCATTTCTTTTGATGGATAAATATCATTAACATGTACATAGAAACTTATTGATTAAGAGAGCCCAGGAAGTCAACAAAAGTATCATAGTATCACCATGCCAACATCAGAGTCTGGAAGATCATAAAACTCTTATTCTTGGCATATCACTGAGAAAAGTAAATGAGCAAAACAATATTGGCACTCTTTTCCATCATTAATTGGTTGTCTTAAACAATGTACAAAAGTACAGAAATGTAACAAGTGGCCTCGTTTTTATGTGGTATTCTCATGTATTGAAACTATTAAATATCGTTAATGAAATCAACTTATATCATATCTCCAACTATTTATTGACCCGTGAACATATGACTTTATTGATTAGAGAACCCAGGAATTCAACAAAAGTAGCATAGTGTTCTTATTGTTGGTAGTATATACCCACTGTGGTAATAACAAGAGAAGCAGTGGAAACATGTTTTGATAGTAGATAAGAGTGGTACCTAATTAAATACAAAATATATAGAATTCATGTTTACTGTGGTGTTGATATCCGTTTGAACAAAGATCAACCAGAACACATGAATAGTGAGAAATAATGATAATAAACGTGCCCTACGCTTATTGTAACATGTGTATCGTGTTGCTCCTGTTTCATCTTCAAGGTGTACTTTGTATTCAGTGCTGTCGGTGATCAGATTCAATAACGAAACCATTCAGAAGAGCTGCATAATAAGAATGTGTATACTAGATGAAATAAACACAATTTCACAGTATAACAAGAAATCTTTTAACAGTGCAACAATTTGCCAAATACAGGTTATTGAGAAACAGTCGGCCGAGCGTCATCATTTCGTCAATAATCACACTTTATAACAATATCATCGATTCATGTCCATAGTGCATTATCGTTAATATTGTTCTGTTTGGTTTCCAATTATGGCGACTTGATAATGCCAACAACCGATACTACAATGTTATTGAGAAACGCTCAGTTTAACGTCATGGTTTCATCAACAAGCATTAACACTTCATACATTTCTTCTCTAGGAAAAATGGTGTTTAAATCTAGATCCTAAAACAAAATTCCAATGCCGGTTCTAATCTTGGTTAAAAAATGCTCCGAACAAAAGAGTAAGCAGCATCAGCAGCCAGCTAGTGGTCACCATGCCAACACCAGAGTCTGAAAGATAAGTTCATAAAACTCCTATTCTTGGCATTGCAGACATTTCACCGAGAAAAATAAACGAACCATTAATTGGTTGTCTACAGAAATGTACACAAGTACAGAAATGTAACAATTAGTGGCCTTATTTTCATGCGGTAGTCTCATGTATTGAAATCATTAAAACATTACTGAATACAAGAAAAGTATCTAATATGATATAACGCATGTCTATCTATTTAAGTAACCATGATGATTCTTGTGTAATGTTCTTGGTTCTGCGTTGAATTTTTGTCTCAGATGATATATTGTAATCATTTTAAACTATTATTATGCAGACAAGTAAAAATATCATCGACGATGTTAAAGATTCAGTTTTTCAAATACATTATCTTACCGGAAGAGATGGTCCAGGACAGGGCCGCTACCGTTTCCAGTGCAGTAAGTTGAGCAGAGCTAAGGGCAGCTCTCTGGCTGACTGTTGTGGATTGGGCCTGTGACGTACTGAAAGTGTTGATCTGCGTAACTGAGAAACCCTGCAATACATGAAGACTTGGAACATAATGATTTAATAGGAAAGAGAGAGCCGCACTCATTGGGATTGAAAGCTGCACATTTAGATTTGACTTTTTCAAAGAAAATTCGATAATATGTATACATTTATAAATACAATGGATTAAAATAAGTATTTTCTAAAAAAATTTGGATTAACTCATTTTTGAAAGCAAAAAAAAAAAAAAAAAAAATTCGGAACATTACGAGACGAACCAAAAACTTAAAATAAAGTAAAAGATCCATATTTTGTATCATATTTTAACTTTACTGCATATCAACGAATAAATCTATTTCACAGAACAAGGTCAAGATACTTAGGCTATGTTAAAAGCTATAACGTTATGTATATGTTGGACGAAGTATCTGGAATATTGTCGGCAGGGTGTTGAAAAGTTAAGTCGCATGTTTTACTGCCGTCCTAGTAATTCTATAAAGTATCATTTGTTAAATTAACATCACATACAATATAGTGTAACAATCAACACATCCCAATACTCGTATCCAAAATAAAACCCGAACCAACCGTGAATGTAGTATCCGGAATATATGTTATATGGTTGGCGTCTATAGCATCTATCTGTGTTTCAGTCAAGGTAGATATTTCACTCGCGGACAGACCACCTGTAACACAACGCATAATTTCAAGTGAGAATACTAAACATCATAAATTAAACGAGAATGATTGGGTAATAGACTGGTTTTCTACATGTTGGAACTCACAATATATATAATATAAAAACCAAATGATCGGTATCATGATTTACCAATGACGATTCCAACATTAGTGATAACAGTGGTGTCCCAGGTTGTCACGTCACTTCCGTAAGCTGCTTTTGCCAGAACAGCAAATGCTTGCAGTTGTGTGTCCTCGCAACTCGTCAGTTCGCCAACGGCATCAGCAGCACTCCTTAGAAAAAGGAAGTGTATTTCTTTGTTAAAACTCAATATTTTATATATAACACTAAGGATAGACAAATCTGGACCAAATTAGTATTCAATGAATACTATTCCTATACATTGAATATTTCAAGTACAATGATTAATTAAACCACAAACTATTCAGTAATTATTTTTGCTGTGAGAATCATGTTGAATAAGTAAGTTGTATTTGTTTGTTTGGTTTGATAGGTGTTGAAATGAATGCCTTCAAATCATAAGGCAGAAGCTGCAAAAATGTTTTCGCATACCTGCCTGCGAAAGCGATGTAAAATGATAACGCCGTATTTTCATGAGAAAAAGTGGCTTTGCATTGTGGACAGAGTTAATATAATCCGAGCGTATTTTTATGAAAGTGTAAAATGTTTGATCATGAGATAACGATACGCTTGGCATTATCAAAAATGTCAAAGGTGTTGGTGGAAATAATCAAACATTGCTGTGTTTTAATGGTACTTAAATCTCAATACTCTCGGTGAGAGCATGAAAATACAGAACAGTTCCACGTCCTTTCCATTTGGTTTAGAGATTTCCTATTCGTTGGACACCATACAAGCCTATTATATTTTCACTTCGATTTACTAAACAGTTAACAGAAGTCGAGTCGACTATATGCATACTGGTAGACAGAAGTTGGGAAAACGTATTTACTTCCTGGGAGGCAAAAAGTGATTTGTACTTACTGGTAGACAGAAGACTGAATGACGTTGATGTGACCAGTTTCTGCGCCACAGGTTACATGCCCGAGGGATCTCAGTTCACTTGATGTGAGCGTGCTGCTGTCGCCCCCTTTCTCTAATGTCAACCATCGCTGATACAGAGCCTTTTTCTGATAATATTTATCAAATAATGGTATAAACAAAACAAATATATGACTTTCCGTATCCAACACTACTTCTATGACATATTTGAAGAGAAACACAAAATTTAGGTTGAAGCTAGCAGTAATTTTTAGATAAAAAAAACCCCCTCAAGAACCAGTGTATATGATGATTTACTTAC